TAGAGCAGAAAACAGAGAAAGTTGCTCTCCTGTGTCCAGAGGAAGTTTATAGTCTTTGCTTCCACTACGAGGCCCCCTGGGCTCCTGGGTGCTGATCTGATGTGTCACCGGAGCCTGTCAGGAGCACCCTGGGCCCCTTCAGTCCTGTGCAGGAGGCCTGTTGGAAATGTCTGACCCTGGAGGGCTTGGCCTTCAAGGGCAGTCGAATCTCCAGTGATCTCCGCAAATGGCACATGGCCCTGGGGGCCTTTTGAACAATGCCTGGTGAAGTGTCCACTGTCTCTGCAGCAAAACCACTTGGCAGGACCCCGGGGGTCTCGCCAGAGCTGAGATCTCACCAGGAGCACACCCCTCCTCTTATGCTTTTGCTCCTGCTGTCCAGTCCCCTCCTGATCTCTGTTATGAAAGTCTTATGGTGGTTACCTTTTTTTTTTAAATTTCATTTAAGGTGTACAATTTCATGTGTTCATATATACAAATTTAGGAATGTAGTGATACTTCCCACCCTACCCTCCCTCCTGTCATGCTCCAATCCTTCTTCCTCCTCTCGTTAGGATTTGGTCTTTTAAATTCACCTGTCTTTTTTTTTTTTTTTTTTGATAGAGTTAGACAGTGAGAGAGACAGAGAGAGAAAGGTCTTCCTTCCGTTGGTTCACTCCCTAGATGGCCACTACAGCCGAAGCTACGCTGATCCGAAGCCAGGAGCCAGGTACTTATCCTGGTCTCCCATGGGGTGCAGGGCCCAAGCACTTGGGCCATCCTCCACTGCCCTCCCAAGCCACAGCAGAGAGCTGGACTGAAAGAGGAGCAACCAGGACTAGAACCCAGCGCCCATATGGGATGCCGGCACTGGCCCAAAAAATCACCTTTCTACAGAGTCAGGAACCAATGAGGTGTACTTCTTTAAAGTCTCCCTCAAGTGTTCTCAGAAGTTGGAGGGATTTTCCTGTGGCCCTTTGTCGCTCCCCCTCTTCATGGAGGAACGACACAGGACCCTGCGCTGTTCTTTCGTCTGCTCGGCCCTCCCCGGGTTTGCTGCTGGTTCTTCCCAGGTTGGCTACCGACCCTTCCACCTCCGTGGAAGGGCGGTTCCCCCTGGCCACTTTCCCCACTTCCGCAGGGGAGCGGCACACCGCTGGCCGGCTCTCTCGGGGGCTGCACAGGTGTTCCTTCAGCTAGATGTTCCCCTTAGATGTTCCCGGTGCATGTTGTCTCTCTCCTCCTTTATAGTCCTCTTCCACCAATCCCAACTCTGCTACCCACACGCCGAGTACGCTGCTCTCCTCCAATCAGGAGCAGGTCCTACAGTTTATTGGTTGAACTGGAGGCAGCTGTGTAGAAGCTGCTTCTCCCTTCTCAGCGCCATATTGTGGGAGAGCAGATGCATAGAATAAGTCTTAATTCCAGTAACTTAGTCTAGTCCGAGTTGCTCCCAGTTGCTCCCCACAGCCCTTGATCTATCCAGGATAGTTTAGCACAAAGCAAGCCTGGACGTAAGGAGCCTCAACCCACTGAGGCTGACTTTGTCCATTCTCTAGCTTGTATCCAGGCCAGGCGGTGATGCAGAAAAAGATCAGGGATTTTCTTCTAAGCTCTGGGGTCAGCAGAATCCCAGCGTCCGAGGATGCACCCCAGGGAGTGTCTGTGGTATATGCTTTGTTTCCCATCTGGAATGAGAGGATGAAAGCAGAAGCATCCCTCAGTCCTTCCCTGTCCTGAGTTTGGGATGTCTCTCAAAGCTCTTTGGCTGCCTGTGGCATCCTAATGTGAACTGAAGCCCACAGGAAGGGAGGAAGGTGCAGGTGGGACTCCAACTTGCTCAGTTTTCCGCTCCTGTAGCCTAGGACCTGTTTGTCAGAACAGCACATGCAGGGAGTGATCAGTTCCTCTTACCCACGCCATACTAGAACTGGGCCTCTGCCTGGTCAAATATATGCCATTGCTTTGCTACCCTCCAGGAGGAGAAATCGTTGTTCTGTGCCTCTTAACACCGAGTCCTGTCTTACGGGCCTGATTTCTACAATTACCCTGCGTGACAAGAGCCTTAACAAAGGTGTTTTGAGCTAGAGTTTGGAGGGAAGGTACCAGTCCTGGGTACCACTTGGGCTGGTGACTAGGCAGGTGAGGGGATAAAGGAGCATGGTGAAGGAATGAAAATTCTCCCTGCTGTACTATGGACTGAGGTCTGGACTGAAAAAAAGGACCTGAGAGAGGCGCACTCAAAAGAGGGAGGGGAGCCCAGAGCGCGTGCTGGAGGACCTGTCTCCTGAAGTCCTGGTCATGAGGGGATCTCCACCCACTGAGGGGTCCAGATGGAGAAGGCCGCCTGTCTGCAAAAGGGATATCTAAACGCTGACCCAAAACTAACCAGGTGTCTAGGGAGATGCCGACTGATGCATATAAATTCAAAGAATAAGGGACAATGTCTGCTTCTACTTACTGGTTTGATTAGCAAAGTAAGTGACAGTTAATATATTTTATTCTGCTGTACTGTGTTTATTTCATACTCCATGAATGTGTCAATTCAAATGGAATGGGCCATTTCACTTATTTTCCAATAGGCAGGCATCAATTGTCTGATTAATCTGATTAATATAGTCATTAAACTGGTTTTCTCCATTGATATTCTGCGTCAGATCAAATTAAAATGAAAAAATGGCAGTCCTCCTCTTTGATTTATGTTCTACAGCACTTCCTAAGGCACGGTTTACATAGCAACCCCAAATAAAAAGTGAAATAAAGGTGGGTTGGGAGCTTTGCTCTTTAAATAGCCATGTTATTTTCATACTGCACAGTTAATTGGAACGTTTCTCCACCCTTAAAAAATGTCTGTGATGATAGAAATGCAAGCGATCTATTTTGATGATATAAAACTTTTAATAGGTAGCTGTACAAAGGGCTTTGTCGGTATCATTCCTCCTGCATTCAGGTTCCTCAAACATCCTACAGTGAATGCTCAGCCAGCTGAATGAAGAACGGATGACTCAATGATGAAGTCCTAGCCTAGAACTCCTCCCATATCCTTCCAGGATCAAACTGCTTTTCCACCAGATTCAAACCCTTGTGAGTTTGATCTAAAGAGTTACCTTCCATATACATAGACCAAAAAAAATTTTTTTAAAGATTTATTTATTTATCTGAACGGCAAAGTTACAGAGAGGCAGAGAGAGGTCTTCCATCCACTGGTTCACTCCCCAGATGGCTACAACAACTGGAGCCAATCCAAAGACATGAGTTTCCTCCAGGCCTCCCACACAGGTGCAGAGGCCCAAGAACTCCACTGCTTTCCCAGGCCATAGCAAAGAGCTGGATCAGAAGTGGAGCACTCGGGACTCAAACAGGTGCCTATGTAGGATGCTGGCACTGCAGGCGGTGGCTTTACCCGCTACGCCACAGCACCGGTCCCCCACTTGCTCACACACTTTTTTTTTTTTTTTTTTAAGCAGAGTGTAAGAATTAGCAATTTCCAGGTGTAGCCTTGTTTTACCTCCCAGTTTGAGCAGAGGTTTGCCTGCTCTCAGGCTATAGTGATTCATTCATCCATTCAGTCACTAACTAGTCAATAAACATTTAGAAATATTTATCATTACAATATCCAAGGGTTTCCTTTACTGGTTACTTCATAGACGCAAAGATAAAGCTTTTGTCGTGGAATTATTGGTTAAAAACTCCTTGCAGTCGTTAGTTACTGTATGGTTACCCTAAACATAATTGTATTCACTAATTGCAAAAAATATTTACGAGAGTTCTGATATCTTGAGTGGTAACGGTCATTCTCCTCTGTGTCTTTTTAATATGTGTGTCTCTTCTGTCAGCCTAACGAAACGAATTCAGTGTGTCACTACATCCTGATCCTAAGGGACGAGACTTAGCCACATTTTCTTTTTCTTGAACCCACATTTTAGAAATTCTCTTGAATCACTTGTTCCTTCTAGTAACCATGCATGTAGCAAAGATAAAATGGTATCCACTTTACAGATGAGTACCACCAGGATTGGAAGGATGAGGGACTGTTCATAACCACACTGTGAGCTATAAGTAACAGGGCCAAAACCCAGAGCATATTTATATTTTGTCCATTTCCCCTGCAGCACTGAGTTTCTTTGGATATCGTTCTTGGTGACTTTATAACAGGAGCTTGTTTTAATTGGTGCTTTACCTTAAACTAATTATTTCTTTGAACTTGTTATTCCTTTCTACTAGAAAGATTGAGGATACCTGAAATTTGAAACTCATACATATTAATTTAAAAGTCATCAGACTAAAATCAGTCAACCCTTCATATAAACTCATGTAACAAATTAAAAGATGGCCTAATTGAATTTGCCAACTGCATTTCATTGCGTCCATCAGATTTTGTTTTGAGGAGATGAGAGAGAGAGTGTACTGTTGATTCACTTGCCAGATACTCACAGCAGCCATGCTGGGTCAAGCCAAAGCCAGGAGTCGGGACCTCAGTTCAGGTCTCCCTTGTGGGTGGCAGGGACCTAAGTACTTGATCTGTCACCTGCTGCCTCCCAGGGTGCACATTAGTAGGAAACTGGAATCTAGATTGGCGCCAATACTAGAAACTCTGATACGGGAAGTGGGTAACGTAAGTGCCATGCCAAACACCTGTTCCCAGTCTTCTGGATATTATTTTTTGATCTGTTACTATAATATTTATGATGCCTTCAAGATTTGAACTGGGCATTAATCATCCACAAACAAGTAGCTTCTCAAGGGAATTACTTTTAGTAGTTAACTGTTCTGAACAAATTTTATTGACATTTTGATTTTGGAAACTTATGTTATATTTTGAGCATAGTGTGTAGAAATTTAAGTTCAAACATCTGTACTTTGGGAGCCTCATGCCATATTAAATTTTTAATAAATTAGTAAATTGTTTTCATCTCTTTTGATAAAATTGTGTACGTAACCTTAATTGTGAACCAAGAATTTATTTTTTTTATTTGTAATTTCAGAATGTCTTTTTAAGTACCATTTTTATTCTGTTTCAGTTCCAGGTGCAGTATTTGATTTACAGCTTGCAGAGGTAGAAGCCACACAAATAAGAATTACTTGGAAGAAGCCGAGACAGCCGAATGGAATCATTAACCAATATCGAGTGAAAGTGCTGGTTTCAGAGACAGGTGTAATTTTGGAAAATACCTTGCTCACAGGAAAAGATGAGGTATTGTACTTTGATTTCACATCTTGGCGAACCCTTTTTGTTTGGTTCTGGCCTGAAAATTTTGGAAAATTTGCCAGTCTTCAAACATAAAATATTGAACATTTGACATGTTGATAATCTAGCTAGATCATATTTCAATTTAAGATGTGTTATTAGTTGAGTGTGACTCTTTTTCAGCATATGAAAAATGTTACTTGAGCAATTAAACAGGACCCAAAGTACATCCATAAGTGAATATGATTATGCTAATTCAGTTAATGAATTGCTTGGAAACTCCTGTCATGATTTAAATACTTCAAAGAGTATGCTTGCAATTTGGAACAGTTGCTACTGAAAGGCACGGTAGTTTTTAATAGCTGTTGTTGACAAATTATGATGTCCTGGCTGGCGTTGCGATGCTTAATTTCTCAAAACTGCCTCATTAAAAAGAACTACTTTTGATTAAAAAAAAAAAACTTACAAAACTGAATAAACGGTATTTAGGTCTTTTTACAAATTTAAAGGAAGAGGACCTGTGCCTCTGGGCAGGGTGTTCTTTCTGTCCATATCTGAAATCTGGGTCCCCTGCTTTCGCTTCATTATATTCATGCACCTCAGGACCTTGTCACTCTTCAGCTAAATCATATCCAGATACTGGCTGCTCTTGGGGGCACTCAAAAAGCAAATGTCCTTAGGACCAGTGCAACAATCACAGACCTTAGAGATAAACGCAATATTTATTCTGCTTCTGTTTTGGCTCAGCATTGCTGCTGCTTCTGCCTGTGCTGTTATTTTCCCCAATACACATAGTGGTACTTGACACAGTTTGAAGAAAAATAAATTAAATAATAAGTTTATTTTGGTACAAAAATACTTTGAAATTCATGCACACTCTCTTCAGCGTATGCATTTTCCATGAACTTTTTGAAGACTCTGCTGTTGTCACTCTCTTTCTAGTTTGGGGCTTGCTGTGGAAAGTTGACCTTACCTTGTAGTCAGTGCACTTTGGCCATGCAGGGCTCATCATGCCAAGTTGGTCACTCTAGCCCAGGGTTAAATTTTAATCCTATGTTGACTCCTTTCCTCTGTGCAAAAGATGTTGAGTTATGCTTTCTCTGATGGTCTAGTTGACAACTCAGGCAAAGGGCAGAAGCTTAACCCTTTGCTCCTGCTGAGAAGGTCTTAAATTAGATACTCCACTCTCTTGGGACTAGGTGACAGGTTTCTCACTTCTGCTAATCTACTGAAAGGCCATCCACAAAGTGTCTTCCTCTTGAAGCTGAGTTTCTAGAAAGGCTTCTTTGGAATCTGCTATAATCTTTGTGACATAGTAGTGAGAACCTAAGCCTTGCAGCGCACAAATCTGTCGTTAAATCTCAATTTTATCCACTGTTAGATTGTATAGCAGTGCTCCCTTTGAGAACTTAGCTGGTGGAGCAGAGGACTATAGATTGTACAGCGGAGATGCTAAGAAAATAGACTCAGGAGATGCAATGTTTGAATTTAAACCATGATTCTGCAATTACAGCTTACCCTGGGAATTAGGCCTGGATCACCGATCTCAGTTTCCTCATCTCAGATAAGAATTTCAGGAGTCTCTGTAACAAAGGGTTAACAGTGAATATCTAATAGGCTCATGTGTATAAAGAGCTAAGAACTGTACTTGGCATATAGTAAACACTGTGCTAAATAGTTGTGACCTGTTGTGGTTATTAATCTTAGCATTGGACCTGTTGTTCTACCTTATATTTAATAATAGTTTCTTATGCTCTCTCCATAAAAGGAAGCGTTATAAGTCTCCTCATTTCTGTGATGGTATCTGGCTTCCTGGGATCAGGCCTATCTCTATTCTTTGGCTTCCTATGTGACTGGTGTTTGGATTCACATTTCAAGAGGCTGATATAGGGAGACAGATATGTAGAGGCTGTAAATCCAAATGGTTTGGGATCCTTGGCCTGCCTCTGCCATATTCTAAGGTCTAGGTTGACCTTGTACAAGTCAATATTTGGAGACTTGCTGCTTTCATTTTTATTATGAGGATTATCCTTTCACCCAAAAAGGTCAGAAGTAAATGACATAAGATAAACCTTTCTCTTAGTATCTTCATTTATTATCCTTTCCTTTGTCCTTGGTACTTGTCCCAGGAAAAGGTCTTTCCTCTCATTCACTGTCATTCTTCTCAAAGAATAGCTTCTATTCCCTGTCTTAAGAACTTTTAAGACACTTGACATCATGATAGAAGTCACATGTGACTTTTTCTGCATGCCCAACTTTGTGCCACCACCATTCCGCTACCTGCAGTTTTAGGCACTATTGGTTCTTTAATACTTCCTACACACACACACACACACACGCAATACTTTGGCCTTAAAAATTTAAATATCAAGGGAAAAAAACACCCCCAGCTCTCTACTATTTTTAACAATTTCTTTTTTGTTTTAAGATTTATTTATTTATTTGAAAAGCAGAGTTACAGAGAGGCAGAGGCAGAGAGAAGGTTCTTCCATCTGCTGGTTCACTCCCCAAATGTCTGCAACGGCTGGAGCTGGGCCAACATGGAGCCAGGAGCTAGGGCTTCTTCAGGGTTTCCCTTGAGGGTGCAGAGGCCCAGAGTCTTGAAGCATCTTCTGCTACTTTCCCAGGCCATAGCAGAGAGCTGGATCAGAAGTGGAGCAGTTGTATGGGTTACAAGCACTGTAGGCGGTGGCTCTACCCACTAGGCTATAGCACTGGCTCCTACTGCCTTTTTTTTTTTTTTAATCTAGAGGTCTCTGTTTCCAAGCATCTCCTAACACTTTGAGAATAGCTCAGATTCAGTCACTGCTTCCTACTTGACTCTTGCTTTCCACTCTGATGTCTGTGTGCTCTGAGTATCTCTGATGCTCGCACTTCTGGTTAGAACAATTCATAGGATTGGTCCAGCAGGGCTTGGCAAATCTGAACTCCTTCTATCCTAAAAAAACAAAACAAAAACCCCAAAGTGAAAAAGCCAACAAAAATCCAGAATCCTCCTTGGGAGAGAGCAGGGTCTGGTTCATGATAGGAAAGAGGAGGTTAATACGGGATCAGGAACACATACTAGGAAGAGGTCCTGGGGCGGTGATAGTGACCCCTGAAGGTTTCTGCATGGCACGCAGGAAAACACTCCATCGAGATGATTTAGTAGTTTCAGTATCTCGAGAACAAGGCCTGAAGAGATTCTGGCTTGAAGACGTGGGATCAAATTATAGGCTTAGGATTCCCTAACTCCTTGGGTTGGGCATACCACAGATCATGTGACTGGAAGGTCATTGTCCTCAACCTTCAAAGCGGCAGTGGTTCCAAAGACTTAGAGACTGAGCATTTTCACACTGTTACATGTCTGATGATTTTCTTTTCGGACAATGGCCCTATCTCTCTGTCGTGAAGGCTTGAAACCTAAGAGTCACCTCTAGCTTAGCATTTACTTAGCATTTAACGGCCACTTAATGTTAAGATCAGTCAGTCCAGAGTGCAACTTTCATGTCTCTTTCATTCCTGTTTCTCCAACCCCATCTCAGCATTGTGTACTGCGTTGCCTGGACAACTGTTGTTATCTCACCGTATTATTTTCCCATTATTATTGAACAAGTTGTCCCCTATGTAGCCTCTCAAAACAGTTCATATTTACTATCTCTCCACTCCTCTGGATCAGAATTCCAGACACAGCTTACATAGTTTCTCTACTTGGATATCTCCTAAGGCTGGCTGAGCTGTATTCTCATCTGGAAGCTAGACTGGGGAAGAATCCACTTCCAGGCTCTCTCAGGCTTTTGGGAAGTTTTATTTTCTTTGGGCTGTAGAACGGATGGCACTCGCTTCTTGCTGGCTGCTGACTGGAGACTACCCGTAGCTCCTACAGCCCTCCTTTCACCCAACTACTACCTCCCTCCCAACCCATATAGACACACATAGTATCTCGACACAAGGGTTTTTCAGTATGGTCAGTTACTTTACTAGCTCAGAAAGGAGGGTCTGTTTGTTGTCATGATTATGGGAGTTATAGCCCATAATTGTCTTACTCGCTTGGTTAGGTGCAAGTCCCAGGTTCCATCCAAGTCCAGAGGAGGAGACTTTACAAAAGCATCCACAATGGGAGGGGAGGATAATGGAAGACCATCTCAGAAGTCACCCAACATACTCTCTGAGCCCATTGCTTTGTTCAAAGGTAGTTGAGACACTTTGTGGAAAATGGAATAAAAATATGTTTACTTTGGGTCAAATATTTTTAAAAATCCATGCATAACTTTTTCATTATATGAATTTTCCTTAAAATTTATTAAGATCTCCCATATTTCACACACCCATGAGAATACCCCTTCCAGATTTAAGTATCTTATTTACATTATAATAAAAGATACCAGACAAGAATGGAGAAGAGATGAGGTAGGTGTATGTGCATCATTTAAATAATTTAACTCCTCAATCTCAATGTAGAAAGTCAATAGATTCTAAAATAAATGAAATTTAGGGGCTGGCGCCGTGGCTCACTTGGTTATTCCTCTGCCTGCAGTGCCGACATCCTATATGGGCGCCGGGTTCTAATCCTGGTTGCTTCTCTTCCAGTCCAGCTCTCTGCTGTGGCCTGGGAGGGCAGTGGAGGATGGCCCAGGTGCTTGGGCCCCTGCACCTGCATGGGAAACCAACAGGAGGCACCTGGCTCCTGGCTTAGGATTAGCGCAGCTCTGGCAATAGCGGCCATTTGGGGAATGAATCAACGGAAGGAAGACCTTTCTCTCTGTCTCTCTCTCAGTGTCTATCTGTCAAATAAGAAAATAAAATAAAATAAATGAAATTTAACAGAAGTAAGATGATTATTTAGTGATTTTAGAAATAAATACCATAAGAACTTAAAATAGGAATGAGCTAAAAGTCTTGGGGTGAAGCAGATAGGGAAGGTATGGACAGGGGATCAATCATGATCATGAAAGTTTTCAAACTGTTAAAATATGATGCTCCTATGCTAGGTTGAGCTAACTTCATTCCCCCTTATTGAAACCTGT